TCAGACAAAGTATCTCAATCCTCTGCATTAATTCCTGTTTTAGCAGTGGTTTGTTTCACAGCTCCAGGACCAGGAGACTGCCAGAACTCTCAATCAAGCTGCTCCAAAAGCGAATTGGTTTTTTGTTTTGTGTTTTCTTTTTCTTCATAAAAATAAATCAAGCAAGCAGCTGAATGAGCAGCTTGAACAGACTTGAAGAGGTTTAAACAACATTTAAATCAATGTTGCTCCTCAAAACACGTCCCTGGAGCAGCAGCTCTAGTTCTTTCAAGCCCTGGGCTTTTAAGTTTCACCATTTAGGCTTTGCTAAGGTTAAATTTCTCAAAATTCATTATTTCATGTGCAGAACCTTCTTGACACTTCTCTGCACCCTCTCCAGTTGCAAACCTTTTTGAAGTCCTCCAACAAGTGCAGGACCCTGAATGCAAAATTTTCTTCTCTCGTGCTACCACAGAGGCAAAATCTCCTTATTTGTCACCAAGACACTCCAGAGCTGCACTTACTGCTTCATCCAGAGCTCCCATTCCACCCTTGCACTGCTTTCCACAGGGATCCACAGTTGTTTTTCTACACTCCTCCCTCCTCTAAGATGCTCTGTGCTCCTTTGTTCCAAAGGTAAACCCTTTCATTGAGTCCTACTTAAGTGATTACTGTTTCATATTATCCATTGTTTATTGGGCATTTGGGATCCCTCTAAAGCAACTCCACACTCCATTCAGAATCATGTATTTTTTCTTCTAGACTGGTAGTGAAAATTACATACCCTTATCCTGAGGTTCTGAGACCATTAGAAAAGGATCCTTCATTAAAAACACTCATTAATAGTTGAAATAATTTGTGATCCAGTATATTAATTTTGCACAATAACAATTTCTATAATTAAAATATTGAACACAATTAATTTCTAGACCATGACAACACAACTGAATTAACCAAATACGTGGTCTCGTGGAAAACAAAGAAAGTAATTCAACCACACCAGTGCTCATACAGTTGTACTCCATACTATTACCTTCTGAATTCCAGGATTATACAGGACTGCTCCGGCCATTCTTCCACCCTGGAGTGAGATAGGGTGAACTCCTGCCTCCATAAAGAACTTAAACCATTAAGGAAGTTAATTCTCCCTGTCTTCTTGAAAGTTCCCCAGCATTCCAGGATTTACTGAAAACTGACAGTGAATAATTTCAATAACTCCAGTGTCAAATCCTTCCAGATTCCAGCTGGTTTGGGATACTTGGAATCCTTAACAGTCTTTCTTCATATTCACATTACTTGGAGTAATGAAATTCAGCTTGAATTTTCTCAATTTTCATGCCTGGCCTTGGGAAAGTTAAGATGTTTCTAGTATATTGTACAATATTGTGTATTCTGAAATTAATTAATATGGTAAGTAAGGCTTAAGTAATCGTTATTTGTTACTTCTTCAAAGTAGCAAAGCAATGACACAATGGAGTGAAGGCAGAGTCCATCCTCAAGAAAGACTTGGAGCAGTTGATACTATTCCTGCTCCACATTTTACCTTTTATTCTTGAAGTTAAATTTCACATTTGTTAGACTCTTTGCTTCCACTAATTACTCTTAACTACCTACTTGAATCAAGTACTCCATTGTCAAGCAATGAAGCAATTCTTCATTTCCCTCCCCTAAATGCCCCCACTGATTTGCAGAGCTATCAAAAGCTTCCAGAAGGAAAGGCCACCCCATCACATGACAAGTTTTTGGAATAAACTTGAGTTTATTCCAAATTACCAGAATACCACGAGCTGCCAGGATCTGTGCCGAGAAAGGAATTGAAAATTTGATGGCTGGGCTGGCATTATTTTAGCTTAAACTCTGCTGGGTTTAAGGGAAGAAGTCCTAAGAAATGATGTTTTCGGTTCACAGAATAAAATTCTAACTACAGAACAGCATGTCATGGACTATAAGCAAGTTTTACCCCATCCACCCCCCTGCATCCAGCTCCCCTCTCTGGTCCATCCAAATCTAAATCCCTACTCGTTAACTCCCAGGAGTGACCACGGCTGGGAGAGCCCCGGATCTCAGCCCAGCACTTTGCTGCCAGTGCCTTCTCATGCTCCACACTGCTGACAAAAACCCATGGAGAACAGTGCCAGGGATCTAGTCACTGCTGCACCCTCCACCAGACAGTCACTGCAGCACCTCAGCATCCCCAAATAAGAGCAAAACCCAGTCACTAGTGATGACTGAAACAAACTGAACAGGAATGAAGAGGAAGAAAGCTTCCTTGAGTTCCCAACTGGAAACTGCCATGCAGGAATTACACCTCTGTTATATTCTGTTATATTTCTGGATATTCTTTCATCTCACGAACACCCAGAATCCTCTGTCTTCCACCCAGATATCTTCTGGACATCAGCTGCCTCGATACTCCCCTCATGAAACAGTTCACTGTGCTTGAAAACTGCCACACAAGACAAGCCACCACAGCTGTGGCTTTCTCCAGGCTCACCTGCTGCCCAGGTAATGCCAGCAGAAAGGGACCAGAGAAAGCGCTGCCCCCGGTCCCTGGGAGCCCAGGGAACTCTCCTCTGTGTGCTCCAGTGCTGGAGCATCAAAGCCAGCTTCAGAGGAAGGACTTGGCCATGAGCAAATGGGGAAGCTACAGCTGGGCACCACCAGTCTCACACAACGTTGTTCCATATTGCAGCTCAGATAGAGAAACACAAATTCATCTGCTGATAATGGCCCAGCAGAGTTTAAACTAAAATAATGCCAACCCAGCCTTTAAATTTTCAGTTCCTTTCTCAGCACAGATCCTGACAGCTCATGGTGCTGCCTACCTGCTCCCCAGCACGTAACCGGACTGAGCACGCCGGCAAGAGATTCCCTCGGATGCAGGAAGATTCCAAACCTCAGCCATCACCAAACAAGGCATCCGGTGGGAACACACGTACTGTTGTGCTAAGTGCAGTACAGTCTGTGGCTCACGGTGTTACAGACCCCTCGATCACACTGAAAAGAACAATAACTGAATATTCACTGCGGCTCCTGATTGCAGGAGGAAGGCCAGGAACTACGTCAACTTAAAGGCTTTTCTGGTCGCTCTGGAAGAGCTCCCTCTATGCTCCAGGCCGCTGAACCAACCACGCACTTCACAAGTCATCCCAGGCATTATCCAGGGTAGAGATAAAGCCATGGGAGCTCAGCTCTCCCAAAGCCAGACTCCACGCAACTGCCGGGTGCTCAGCCCTCGGCAGCTCCAACTATTTTCATCCTGCTTCTAAATAGGCTCAGAGAAAGAGCTGATCACGCAGCCAGGCAGGTCCAACACCTGGTGCAATACCTGCCTCTTCAAGAAGAGAAGAGGAGAGTGGCTGAACATGCAGCTGCAATAAGTAATTTAGTCCTTCAGAGGACTAAATGATTTATGATCTCCAACAGATAACAGAGCCTGCGAGAAGCTTTCTTATAAGCTTTTGGCTTTTTACACAAGCAGCCAAGAAACAGATGATATTTTTTTAGATAAGTCTTTTTTTTTTTTAAACAATCACAAAGGGGAAAAAAACCCAACAATAAAAAAGAAAAATATCCAAAAAGCAAAAGAAAATTCTGTTCTGCTCACAGTTGCTAAAACGCTGTTGACAATGTACAACCCAGAAAGATCATTCTACTAAAAAATATTACGGAAGTTCAATGGTGACTCTGTAACAAAAACCATCTTTCCCCTTAACTCTGCTAGCATCTGGCTGCCTGCATGAAAAGGGGCACTGGCACATTTTACCGGGGCACAAATTCAAGAGTGCTCTTAACACTGCAAACCAGGACTCTTCCTCCAGAGGGCTGAAACACCTTTCTCTCAGCGAGATCACATTACTCACTACAAACATTTCTGCCACCTCAGACATAAATTCAGCAAGTTACGACTATTTTAATTCGTAAGAAAAACGATGGACACCAACAGGAGTCTCAGCACCAACTAACGCACCAAAGTGAGGAGTGTGTGTTTCTGAAAATTATTTCTTTGAACTCAAAGTCTCCCTCGCAAAACTTCACTCTGCAGAACTGTTCTCTGTCAGTTTGCCCCCTTGCTGGAGGAGATTTGAACTCAGTGCCTGTTCAACATTCTAGTTGTTGCCGTCATGTTAACTATCTCAAACCAGCTGCACCACCCCTGACTCGCACTACTTTCAGCTTAGGGAAAGAGCAATTCACTCAAAATAAGGATGATTCACGCATCGTTTAATTATATTTTTACCCCGAGAACCTCCTCTCCTCACCAGCCCGAGTGTTCATCCCTTTAAACAAACTAACAATTGCGACAACACAAACTATGATTCTAGGATCGCCACAGTATTTCTCAATAAATTGAGCCGACCAACAAAAGGAAACCAGAATTCAGGCTCCAATTTTGAGCTCACTACACCATCGGCCGAGATGATGATGATGAAGATGAAGGCTTATTACTCTTCCCACTGTGTATTGCATTCTAAAATGGTGGCCATGTCTGTCTAGGCTTCAGCTCGCAGAGCCACCAGCCAAACTCACGGCCGCGGAGTTTGGTCTTGTCCAACTTGAGGAACAGTTCCCCGTGCTAAAACTGAGCCGTGGCCGCGGCGGGGCCGGGGGAGGCGGCGGCGGGGCCGGGGGCGAAGGGGAGCGGGTCCCCCCGGCCCCTCACGGCCACAATGCCAACATGGAGGGCAGCACCCCGGCACCTCCTCGGAGGCTCGGCGGGGCCGCTCCGGGCGACAACCCCGCAGGCCGGGGGGAGGCCGGGCCGGCCGGGGCAGCCGCCCCCCCGCTCCCCGCTGCCCCCGCGGCCGCTCCGCCGACTCCCCCGGCACTTGGGAGCCACTTCGCGGTGGGGGGGGAGCGGTCGGTCCCGTCGGTCCCCTCAGCCCCGCGGCCCCGGTGAAACTTCGGAGCGGCGGCGGCGGGGGCGGCCCCGCCTGCCCGGGGTCACCTGCGCGGCCGCGGGCCGGGGGGGCCGGGCCCCACACAAAGGCCGCTCCCGGCGGCGCCATGCGGGCACTCACCGGCGGCGGCCGCACCTTGCAGATGCCGGTCTGCTCGGCGATGGGCCGGATCTTGTGGATGAAGGCGAAGGGGTCGGCGAACTCCTCCCAGCTGGGCTCGAAGACGGGGCACTCAGGCGGGGGCAGGAACTCGGCCATGGCCCGGCCGGGGCGGCCGCTCCGCTCCGCGATCCGAACAATCTCCGGGGCCGCCGCGCTCCGTGCGCGTCCGCGGGGGGGCCGGGGCTGGGAAAAAAGTCCGCCGGCCCGGGCAGGGGAGGGGGCGCGGCCGCCCCGCCCCGCCCGCGCCTTTGTGCGGGGGCGCCGGGGCCGGACCGGGGAGGGCCCCGGGGAGGTGGCGGGGGGTGAGTTGGGGGAGAAGAGGAGACGGCGGATCCTGCGGAACTCAGAGCGGCCCGCGCGCCGCCGATCCCACCCCCCGCGCTACCCGGGCCCGGCGGACAGCGAGGCCCCCCGAGCGCCGCTCACCGCGGATCCTGCCCGGTGCCCCCCGCCCCGCCGGGCCGCAAATCCGCGTCCCCCTCCCCCCGACCCCCTTCCCTTTCCCCTCCCGCCGCCTTTGTGCGCGGCCCCCTCGCTGCGGCCGCGCTGTGGCCGCTCCCCCCAGCACCGCTGGTTCGGGGAGGCCCCTCGGCCGGTGCGAGTCCCGCGCCGCCCCCCCCGCGCCGCCGGCGCTGTGTTTACATGCGCGGAGGGATCCGCACAGCTGACAGCGGGCCCCGGCCGGCGCTTCTTTTTTTAAAGAGCCTCTCCGCGCGCCGCCATTGGCCGCGCCGAGGCCGCGTCACCCGCGCGGGGCGGGGCCGTGCGCGTCCGCGCGGCCGCATTGTCTGCCCTGGCCGTGGAGCCCCCGCGGCCCCGGCCCGGCCCCTTTGTTGGGGGGAGGGTGTGTGTGGGGGGGGTTGGCCAGAACGGGGCCATTGTCCTGCCCGCGGGCACCGGGAGCGCGGGGATAAGGGGCTGCCCCGCTCCCGAGGTGACCTCCCCCCCCGCACCGCTGGTTAACGGGGCTCCCCTTCCCTCCCCCCCGGGGCGGTCCCGACCCCGGTACCGGGGATCGGAGGGGGCGGCGCCGGGCGGGGGAGGGGCGGCCCCGCCGCAGCAGGCGCCGCACGTACCGCACGTGTGCGGAGGGAGGGGGGGCTGGGGGGGCCCCGCTCCCGCCCCTCCCCCGGCACCGCCCCCCCGACCCCCGCGGGGACCCCCGGCCGCGACCCCCGCGGCCCTCGGGGCAACAAAGCCCCGGCCTCGCTGGTTTTACGGTCACCGCTGTAACAACCGCCGGTTAAACAAATAATAAATGGCAACTTTTTGAGGCGAGCGCAGGATGCTCCCGGGTGTCATTTTTTCATGAGACTTCGCTCACTGGCTTCAAATTTCGGCTAAAACTCGGAGAAAGCGTTCACTCACAGCGGCTGGAAAAATCACACACGCTGTGAGTTCCAGGCTCAGCAGCAGTCGCAGGATTCGGGGTCCGGTTTACCCACAGCAGGAACTCTCAGCCCATCAGCTCCGTGTCACACAGCCCTTCCCAGCAGAGGAACAGCCCCAGGAGAGGGGATGAGCAGGACAAAAATTTGCACAGAGCACTCAGGGCCAGTTTAAAGACAATCCTAATTCTTGTCCTCGCTTAAAAACGAAGGGAGGAAAACGGACACAGCTTTTGTAAAGCGTTCGTGCAGGCGATGGCAAAGGGAGGGATCCTCCACTCGGAGCTGTCCCTCCCTGGCTGCACACCCGTGGGATAGGGAGGAGTCGGACACCTCCCTGCACAGCCAGGGCTCAGAGAAGCTGCCAAGGGCACAGGGGACGAGGCACCAGCTCCCAGCCTGGCAGCACAGGCCCCTGTGCACCACAGCTCAGGGGCTGCCTTGGATCAGCACGTGGCCCAAGCTGAGCAGCACCAGCAGTAGGAGCTGAGCTCTCACAGTCTCACCCTTGCAGGGACATGTTGGGCCCAGAGTCACACTCTGACATGGCTTCATGGTGCCAGGCAGGCTCAGCTTCTGGGAGCCCTGGAGGGGCCTCAGCCCTCAGGAACATCTCCAATTTCCAGGGGGCTCCTGCCATTTTCTTCCCTGAATTTTACCTACAGCTGACAGAAGTTTCTGTACCCCATTCTTTGTGCAGAAGAGTATCAGGTTTACACAGGAAGCTTCAACCCCAGATGTAAAACACACCGTAATCTGTTTGTACTTCCGTTTACACCAAGGGATCCTCCAGTATAAATCACCAAATATCAAAATGTGGAGAGAAAACTAAGCTGGTTCATCACCTTCCAACAGCCGCACATCCCAAACTCGAGGGGTTCTGGCAGGAAGGAGAACACTAATTTTGTGACTTCAGGTCTGAGGATCCCCAAGAGCATCAGGGACACCATTGAGTTCTGGTGTTTGGCAAGTAAATCCTTTTTGCAATGACTCCCTGAGGACCCCTTTTGCCAGAGCTGGAAGGACCACATGCAGTGGGATTGTTTCTGCCAATCCTGTCACAGCCAAAGGCCTCCCATGGGACTGTGATGAAAAACCACTCAAACACAAGTGCTGTTCCTGGGAAGTTGTGATGGAGGAGAAAAGCGCTGGGTGCAAAGATCTGAAGGTGAGCAGAGCAGGGAGATCAAGGGATGACCCAAGGATAAAAAGCAGTTGCCCTGAAGGGAGGGCAAGGTGGCTCAGGGCTGGATAAGATGGAGATTCAAGGTAAGCAGGAAGCCCTGGAGGGTCTGTGTATCCCACGAGGTATCTTACTTGTCTTTCCACCTTGCTATCTGCAAACAGAAACACTTCATCCCCACAAATGCGTACTTTTGCATGCTGCCTTCTGTCTGTCTTCCCTCTGCTGTGACATCTGCAGTGTTTGCTCTGTTCAGGGGATTAGTGTGGCACAGCACTGTCTGGCTTAGAAACCCAATTCCCCAAGTGTCAGAGGCACAAACTGCAGGAAGGAAAGCAGATTTCCCTCTGTTGGAATGAGAATGCAGGCATTCCTTCTTCATGGTTCAGTTGGCTGTCATTAATTAACACCTTTTATTAGATGGGTTTTCTCCAAGCCTGTTCCATTTGTGAGCAGAGCAGAACTTCCCTGTTTGCTGCAGCTCAGTGTTAACCCAGGAGACACAGCAGCTGCTGGGCTGGCAGGGACCAAGCAGGGACCGAGCAGAGACAGCGAGAAATAAAGGAGCAGGATTCCAACACGTAGTCCAAAGGCCATCAAAAGGGGTTGGCCCAAGGGGAGAAGTGCCAAGGCTTACAACTGAAGCCAAACACTCTTCACCACATCAGGGAGTTTTTCCTTGGCAATTCCTCTATCCTCATCCAGCTGTGAGCCCCAAATAGAGCATCTATTGAGAACCCTGCCCATCCCAGTGCAGCACAGCTTTCCTCACACACTGTTTATGTGCAGGAAGTCCCCTCAGCCTGTAGGGATATTTAATAAAACTTATTTTGTGTTTTCTTGGATGGGAACAATACTGTGAACTTTCCTACCAGTGTAAGCCTTCCCTTCACTCCCCTGCACCAGCCATCACCTGCCTGGAGCACATTGTTCCCACAGCCTATACTGACTTGTTTGCATTTATGTATCTGACTTAGACACTGCAATAAAGATCACAGAATCATGGAATGGTTTGGGTTGGAAGGGACCTTAAAGATCATCTCATTCCACCCCCTGCCATGGGCAGGGACACCTTCCACTAGCCCAAGTTGCTCCAAGCCCCATCCAACCTGGCCTTAGACACTTCCAGGGATGGGGCAGCCACAGCTTCTCTGGGCAACCTGTGTGTCAGTGGGAAGCCATTCCCCCTTGTCCTGTCACTCCATCCCTTGTAAGTAGTCTCTCTCCATGTTTCCTGTCAGCTCCCCTCAGGTACTGGGAGGGTACACTTAGGTCTCCCCAGAGCTTTTCTTCTTCATATTGAACAATCCCAGTTCCCTCAGCCTTTCCTCACAGCAGAGAAGCTCCTTCCCACTAATCTGCTTATTGGTGTCCTTTGGACTCCCTCCAACAGGTCCGTGTCCTTCACATGCTGGGGATCCCAGAGCTGGAAGCAGCTCTGCAGGTGGGGTCTCACAAGAGCAGAGTAGAGGGGCAGACTAGTCTTTCCCCTTCTATGTACCTGCCCTTGCCATCCTAGACCACCTCTTCTCTTCAGACAACAGCTGGGTACCACTCCCTTCACCCAGCACCTTCCATCCCAGCAGCCCAGGTCTGTCCAGTTTAATTCTGTACTACAGCACAAACATGTACTGCAGCCAGTTCCTCCAACAACCACCCAGTGCTGGTACCATTGGCCTGGAACAGGACACTGAAAAGAGCTTTAGGAAACACCACACCCTGGACTTCTGAGCAGACAGAAGATATCTCCACTTTGGTCACTGCACAAGCCAAGCAAGCAGCTCCCACAGGCTCCCCAGTGAACAAAACTTAGGGAAACATGCTAATATTACACAAACTGCACTCCAGAATAACCCAGAACCAAGCTGGAGGAGATCTTGCCATGTCCAGAGACAATCAGCACCACATATGGAGTTGAAACTCTACTGAAGCCAAAGCCCTCATTTCATCAGCAGTTTGGCCTAATTAAAGTACTACATGTTTAGAGGAGCACAGGGCAGGGAGGGAGATGTGCTGAGCCTCTCTGCTCTTTAAGAAAATAGGTTCCTGGGAACAAACAGATTTAGTAAGCAGAATCTCTGACAGATCAAACCAAACCAGTTTTCCTGGGCAAAGCAGCAGCCTGTACGAACCTGCAAAGCAGTCCAAGTGTCATCATCAAGGCTTGAGAAGGGTTTTACATTTTCCAGCTGCTTCCAGAGACGGTGATGCACGTCAGTCCTTGAGAAACAGGACTATTAATGTCAAGGTACTGAAAAATCTCAGGATCCTGGTTAAAATTATGGAGTATTCTGGATATACCAGGCTATGGACATTTATAGCAAAGCTCCCAGCTCATAGACATGACTCTTGGCTCTTGCTCTGGTGCCACATACCAGAACTGCCTGTCTCACACCGTGCCTTGGTGAAGTGAGGCTCAGCAGCAGCAGCATTTTGATGGAGAATTAGGTACTCTGCTGGCAACTTTGCTAGAAGAGAACCTCTGGTTTCAACATATTTCTGCCCTTCCTCTAGAAGCTGCACTCCATGCCCCTGCCCCTCTCTGTGCTGGCTCAGCCCCTGCTCCCTGTCTGTGACCTCTTCTGTGCTCTGGGGGACCTGAAAAGCCCCA